TTTGTCCCCAAGTGCCTTCCATTCTCTGATCAAAGTCATCTAGAGAGGTGACCTCTCTCTGTGCTCACTAGCCAGCTGCCCCAGCTAAAACAAGCAGGGCCCCTTGACGTCCAGTTTATTATTGTTGGCTGTTTAGTAGAGAAGCAGGTCAGTGAAGGGCCATTTGTCTAGTTCACTGACCATCGTAAAATACAGGGCATTTGGGAGTGTGGACCTGCAGAATTCTTATAAGGGCCTACCTAGAACGTGCCTATAAGAACTCTGACATTCTTTACTGTAAGCACACAGCTAAGTAGGTGGGTGTTTGTATTGTGATATGGTGAAATGAATATGGTTAAATTAGGTGTAGGTATGCTTTGTCTGTAGTACTTAAACTAATTGTAAATGCAGCTGTTAGATGATCACACACAACTTACCTGTGGAATATTTTTGATTGTCAGAGAATGACATCAGCCCTTCTAAGCAATTTTCTTGCCTATAACTGACTGCCTGTGCCAAACTTTTAAACATTAATGATTTTCCTTTTTTTCAGTGGTGTCTTGGTTTGGAAATCTCGCGTTAAAGAACAGAAACTCCCTTAACCAAATTGTTAAATGGTCTACTAAGCTGATTGGTGAGTCACAGTTTAACCGAGCATCCCTGTACACCAGACAGATACAACGGAAAACTAGCTCGATTTTAAATGACGACACAGTGAATTTTCAGCTTCTTCCTTCCTTCCCATGTAGAACGAAGCGGTATAAAAATATGCTTTGTTGAGTTTTACTTGTTTTCACCTGAATTCTAACCTTATTTTATTTTAGTGGTTATTTCTTTTAGTTTTTTTCTCTCTTTGTAATTCCTGATTTTTAGAGCCTGAAGCACTTTATCATTATCATGTTTATATCATGTTTGTCTATTTTCTGAGTTGTTTGTTGTTTTTATATTTTTGATAAGATAAATGCCTTGTCTTTTACTGCAAACCAAATCTACCTAACCTTCAACCTTCAAACTTGATCCCTCGTCTGTATGTAGCTCCATGGCAGATACTTATGCACCTATGAACTCCTGATAATGCAGTAAAGCAACCAGAATCTGAGGATTCCTCCAGAAGCTCCTGAGGAACAGGTCTAACCAGATTTACTCTACAAAACAAAAAAGCTGGCCTTGTTAAGCCAGGAAACTTAAGTCCTTGGGAACAGCACATAGACATGCTCCCTGGCTCAGTGTAAATAAGTGTTGAATATGCAATATATCTGAAGTGTAAATGGGTCCTAAACAGCCTGACAGAGGCTGCTAGCATGGCTGTAGAATCTTAGTCTTGTAAATCTGTATCTGGAAATATTTGTTGGCACAATGGTGAATTGTTCAAAAGTAACTCAGGACCACAGAGTTATGGCCATGTTTGTTACTGCAGCAACAAATAATGTTAAAAAATAAAATACCATTGAATTTTGCAGGAGGGATTAGAGTGCGAAAATGTACATATTGTCCACATTTGTTGGCATTTACAAATGTTCTCATAACAGCTTATGTCAAATAGGTTGCATCTACATGCATTATGGCAACTACAAAACTACTGTTGTAAGGGGGTCATGTGATGACGCCGAGCAAGATGGCTGCTTAGGCTGGAGGCTGCAGCTCCACTAGTTTACATTTTGTGTGAATATATAGGCATTATCAATTTATTACATTGTTTTTTTCTCACAAGTTGCCGATTATAAGCTTCTCACACTACCGATATGCCAAATCCCCGGAAAAACGAAAATGTGTCTCAACAACAGCAAAGCGCCAGGGCTACCGCTAGCTCAAAAGCTACCCATGCCTCTCCTGTATCGCCAGCGCGTGAAGACACGGATGAGTCCATCTCCACTGCTAAAATACACAAACTTCTTCAGAAACTATCAGACGACCAAGCCAAACACTTGCAGACATCTGCAAGGACGTCTCAGAAACAAGAAGAGCTGTTGAGGCAATTAAGGGTAAGCTAGCCGACATGCTAACCAGGATGACTAGCACGGAGGCTCGTCTGGATATGCTAGAGGAGGTGGAGAGGCAGCGCTGCGACTCGGAACTTATTAAAAAAAGAGATTAACTCTCTTCTGAGGTGCCGTTCAGAATTCCTCATGCATAAAACAAGACAAACTTACTATTTTAACTCTTCAAAACCCAGTCTTCTACTAGCAATGAAACTTCAGACGGATGAGCACTTTGCTGATCCTTTTTGCATTAAAGACAAAGAAGGCACTATACAATGTGACCCAAAAAAAGTAAAGCCTCGTTTGCCTCCTTTTATCAGGAGTTATATAATTCGGAAAGTAATTTTGACAAACATGTCTGCAATTATTTCTTAAATGACATTAAACTATCCCGCCTTAGTAATGTTGACTCCATAAAGCTAGATGGCCCTGTCACATTGCAGGAGTGTGAGGCAGCTGTTAGGGACATGCGTAAAGGTAGATCACCAGGGCCGGACGGAATTCCACCTGAATTTTACCTCACCTTTTGGCCCCTGATCGGACTGCTGTTATTGGACATGATCCATTATTCAATCAGAGTGGGATCATTTTCTAGGGATGTTAATTTGGCATTAATTTCAGTGCTTCTTAAAAAATGAAAGGATCCAGTTAAGTGCTCCAGCTACAGACCTCTTTTGCTTTTAAATACAGATTTAAAGATTTACGCGAAATGAATGGCCCGGCGGCTTCAAGGCCATATGACAGAATTGGTTCATAGTGACCAGACAGATTTTATAAAGTCTAGACTTGCTACAGATAATGTTAGAAGACTATTACATGTTATAGATGGTGCTCAGGGCTTAAGTTCCCCTGCTGCTGTCCTTCCACTAGATGCAATAAAGGCCTTTGACCGCCTGGAGTGGCCATTTCTGTGGTCAGTGTTAGAGTTCATGGGGTTTGGCTTGCCGTTCATTAATATGATTAAGGTGCTGTATAATATCCCAACTGCTGTAGTGCTTACAGGCAAAACTAGCTCTTCTCCCTTTGCTATCTCGAAAGGATCAAGACAAAGCTGCCCTCTTAGCCCTCTGTTATTTGCCCTTTCTCTTGAACCACTGGCACAAGCCATCTGCGGCTCACCTACAATCTCTCCAATTTCCATTAGAGGAACACACCATCACGTCTCACTGTATGCTGATGATGTTTTATTGTATATAAACAACCCAGTGCAATGTATCCCACATGTTTTGTCAACCTTTGAACATTACGGCAAGCTTTCTGGTTTCAAAATAAATTGGCAGAAATCAACTTTGCTACCTTTAAATCAGGCCATGAGTAATGCTCCCATCCCTGCATCTATTCCAGTCACTAAAAACTTCACTTATCTTGGGATAGATATCTCTTCCTCCATACAGACAATAATTAAAAACAATTTTGGAAGACACTTAACAAAGTTGTGGCGGATCTGGACAGGTGGTCTAACCTGCCAAATTCACTTCGTGGCAGGGTAGCCATAATTCAAATGAATATTCTGCCCAGAGTCAATTTTGTTAGCTCGATGCTCCCCCTTCCCCCACCCCCTCAATATTGGAGCAAATTACAGTCAGCAGTAACTACATTTCTGTGGCGTGGCAAACGATCTTGCATTAGGCTCACCACTATGCAGCAAGAAAGGCAAGCCAGTGGCCTGTCTCTCCCGAACTTCAAGTTCTATGAGTGGGCCTTCACACTTAGACCTCTCCTGACTTGGTTTCAATCTGATGCTCAAGTGTCTTGGCGAGCTTTGGAGGAGCAGATGATAGCTCCATACTCTTTTACTAACATTCTGCATTCTAAAATCTCACCCCATCACTGCCGTTTGAGATTTGGTCCTATGATTTCATATTTGCTATTGATATGGAGGAGGGTGGAGAAATTGGCTGGTTGCTCTTCTGTCTGGGGCCCACACTCACAATATTTAACAATGAGAGATTGTTGATTGGCGATCGTCCTATTCGATTTCCTGATTGGGAAAAAAAAAAAACGGTAACACTTTATATTAAGGTACATCTATTCACCATTAATTAGTTGCTTATTAGCATGCAAATTAGTAACAAATTGGCTCTTAAATAATCATTATTAAGTGCTTATTAATGCCTTATTCTGCATGGCCTTATTATACAACCAGTAAGCCATTAACTAAGAGTTTTCCCTCAATAACCTCAGAATTATTGCTTATGAGTAATAATAGTAATAGTAATCTCAATATGCTTTGCTTAGTATGGACTTTATAAGGTGGTAGTACCACCACAAGAATAGTTATTCTCCCTTAATAACACTTAATGAATATGGTCTGTTTTTACATAACAAAAGACAAAACTACAAGTGTTAATAGTGTCCAAATAACTCTAAATTAAGTCTTTGTTACTTAGAATATGTTCCCCATACTAAAGTGACATCTTGATCATAATTCACTAATAGTCGAACACTTATTAACCCACACATGTTCCCTAATTTAAAGTTGCCTCCTTTTCACACTTTGTTAGTATATTATAGCACATAACTGCTGCAATGAACAAGTGATGGGTTACACCTTGAAAAAAAATGGATCTATCTATAGGTTCCCTCTCATTCAGTGGTAGAATAACAAAGACAGCACAAGTACAAATACCTCATTTATTAAACCACTGGTTCAGGTTTTGCCAAGGCTGACAACAAATACTGCGTGAACTTGCTGTGTAGTTTAATTTACAGGTAATGGGTATCAGTGTATATAAACATGTCATACAATATGGTATCAAATGTATAAGCAGGTCATACTGTATGATAATACAGGTACTCTATTGTTGAAAATCTGTGTGATCCTTTAACCAAAATCTGCCTGCTTACAAAAAACAGCACAATATAAAATACTGCACAATATTAAGTACAGAAATACAAAATATTGCACAATCTAAAAAATATAAAACCTGCACAGCTCAACATAAACTTGCTCTTTATCAGCTAAACTACACTTGTCAATGCTTAGAACAAATGTACTGAACTGTACAAACATTGCACTTTCACAGCCTAAACTTGCTCTATAATTACTGCATCAGGTCTTAATATTTCATCAACAAGGGGAGGAGTTGGCATTTGGCCTTCATGTCCTCTATAATGCTCTTCTTCTCCGGGGTAATGTGGGTTGCACATCTCTTAGCAAAGGACTGCAGGGTCTCAGTTGAAGGATCATACTTCAGGGTCTTGAAGGTTTCAGGATCTACAGTGTTGAGCTCTGCAATTGCAGCAGTCATCTTGAAGGTTCCCCGGGCCACGCCATTAATTCTGAAGGCTTCAGTCATGGTGCGGACTTTGCTTAAGCTTTTCAAGACTTTTTTATATCTGCTGATAACCTCAGCTGGCCCTTTCACTGAAAAATATATAAAACAAAAACAAAAGAACACGAGAAATGAGCACAAACAACGGCTTAAGGTCAGCTGAAATTGCTCAAATTGGTCACTTCTCTTTTGATAAAAGTATGAAGCATATTCTAGGAATGGGACAATCTGCTCATCTCCTGATATGATTCCATGCACAATATGTGGTTCAGAATTCAATACAAAAATGATACTCTGTAAGTTTAGTTGGTAAATGGTAAATGGACCTGTACTTGTATAGCGCCTTTCTAGTCTTCCGACCACTCAAAGCGCTTTTACACTACGTGCCACATTCACCCTTTCACACACATTCACTCAGTGATGGCAAAGTCCATCAACAGAAACTAACATTCATACACATTCACACACCGATGCATGGCATCTGGAGCAATTTGGGGTTCAGTATCTTGCTCAAGGATACTTTGACATGTGGCACCAAGAGCCGGGAATCGAACCCACAACCTTCCGATTAAGGAACGACCCGCTCTGCCTCTTACGGTTCAGAATTATGTTTACTTCTGAGTGACAAATCTTTCTAGCAATACATTTGATGTTGAATAATAATTTGTGTGAATGCTGCAAAATAAAATGGAGCTTTATTCTTGATGAAAGCCACATTTTTGACTTAAGACATTTAATTCTTATTTATCATCAAATTCCTAGTATATTCAGAATCTAGAACTGAAGATCTGTATTTTTGCCTCATAATTACTTCATAACATATTTTTAACAGCTCTTCCAACGCTTTTATTAATAATTACTTTTCATGACCACTTGTTGCTAACAGGGCAGGTGGTTCAAGTTATGCCATTCTTACCTCTCACATGAGCTTTTCCAGGCACAGCCACAGTTGCAGATGGCTGTGTCCAACATGTCTTCCGTCTTTGGATGACAACATCACTGTCCAAGGACTCACAGATGTCTGGAGAAAATGGGGGAATGACGTCATCTTCATCCATGTTGCCATCGTCATCCTCATCGTCGTCCTCCAAAGTAAATACTTTTGGTTGAGGTTTGATCAAAGAGGATAGATGAGACAAAGCTCAGATTGTTATGAAGATATATCACACCTTTCATTACAATTACATTATATTTTGCAGATACAAGTTGCTCCCAAATCACTTACATGATTTCGTCTTTCCCATGATTTGCTCACGCAAGAAATTGCGCTCTTGCTCAAGATCCTTTATTATTATTTCTTGCCATTGGATCCTGGCTTCTAGGAACTCTACTTTGGAGATTGATCCTTAAAAACAAAAATTAGATCAGGATACAAAAAAGATTATGATTTGACAATATTGAGTGAGTGAGAGAGAGTGAGAGAGAGAGAGAGAGAGAGAGAATGACATGCATGCAACAAAAGTAGTGGACCAGATATGGTGTGTGCCTTAACTTGATTTGTATATGTATACTGACAAAATCTGCCAACAACTTTAATCTCAGGCAGAAAAATCACTAGCAAGAAATGAAATTTTAGACAACAAAGATACACTGCTAGAAAATGAGAAATCATTACCTGATCCAATGCTGCTAATACTGCTGCAACTTGGACCAGAGCTTCCTTTATCTTCAGGACCTACAGTATGGCATAGGTACAACAAAATCAACAAATGAATGGAGGACTTGAAGTGTTTAAACACATTTGGACAAGCTAATTATTTAAGTATTAAAGTTCCTTGAAAGTTGACAAAGAAAACTTTACCATCCAGGTCATTTTTGGTCACCTCAGTCATCGAGTCATCTTTAGGGACTTTTAGGGACAATTTCTTTTTGGCCTTAGGCTGTAAAAAATATTTAAGAAATCATGTTACTATAACTGTCAAAAGGTAACCTAAATAATCTACACAAGATTCAAAAGCTCTTCTTGTTGTAATGACTGCATAGTGCATAATTTATTTTTCATTACAAAATGTGGTTCATACTAAAGCATTACATGCACCTACATTCACATTTTATGTTAATGGTAATGTTTCTTTCCTACTATTCACCCAGCTCACGTGCACACTCACGCACTCAGCTGGCTTAAAATTACATTAGCTAATTAGCCTCTACACTGCAGATAAATAGGATAGGGTTTACTACTCTTTAACTACGTAAACGGCCCGGGGACGGGTGTTATGATGTGCTTACAAAACTCAGGGGGAGTTTCAATTAACAGGCTAGTGCTTAACTCACCATTATTGTTACACGAATTTCCCTCTTCACTCTCCAAGCGCTGAACGAAACGGCAAATAGCCATTAGCCACCTTCTCCAGATCTTTGACGTGACTGGTGGCTCCCTTTGGATGATTGGATGAGGATGTCACATGACAGCATAGTAACAGTCAATGATTGGATGAGAGCAACACATCGGAGGAGCACGGCTACGGATTGGTAGATTGTTATGTCAGTCATTACTCTACAAAGTGGGTCACTTTGCGCCTTTTTTTGATGCAAAAAAATATTCCACAGATATAGGTTTAACAAATATGTTGTTGGGTTACGAGTTTTTGAGTCGAATACATTTTAGACAGTGCCCCAAGGAAAACTACAAGTTCACCAGATGGTTAATGAAAGAAGGCCTACTTCAAAAATGGATGAAATGCCCCTCTTGCTCTCATGTTATGAAGTAGAAACGGCCCTACGGCAAAAAGGAGGCAGCATGGTGAGTAGAACAACTAGACATGTGCCTTATTTATTAATTTTCTATGTGTGTGTAAGCATAGGGGAGTGTGCAGCATGCAGCCATCAAATTGTATCTGCTAGAATTTAGTGCCAAATCCTATATTTTACGCCAATTTTGAGTGGTGTACACACAAAATATGCTAAGTCACATCTAGAAAGTCACAATACAAATCACACACAGCTGCAAATTTTAATTTTTAAGTAAGCTACTGTTTATTTGGTGGAGATAAGGGTGTTCTACATGTGTACAAAATCTGAAATGAAAAATGTCTTTTTAACAATTTTAGATCACATTCCTGGTCATATTGTTCACATATTTAACAATAAATGCCACCAATCAGCTTGACTTTAAACTTGTACATGCACAGGGATTAATTAATTGATCACCTTTTTCATGCTGCGTGGCAGGGATGCACAAGCGGTGACAAGTAGAGTAGAGTAGACACAGCTAAATTTACTCAAATGTCTAACCCAATTTTAGGTGTAACAGTTGTAGATATTACTTGTCAAGTAGGCCTAGAAATGATACTGTTCTGCTGTGCTTTGAGAATGCATGGGGGGAGGGAATCACAAGTACTACTAGTACAAGTGCACCTTGTTCAATCCCAATCTTAGCTGTTTCAACACCTATACATAAACATCTATGTCCCCCTCTTCATCTTCATTTATGTTCCATTTTTATTTAGTGAAATCCGTACAGTATCATGGGTTTTTATTTTGTTACATTAACCTTTGGATTTAATCATCAGGATATGCAGAGATTCCTGTCACAAAGGGAAAACCGTGTCGAGGTCCATCCGAAGTGGCACCACATTTGAGAATTCTCACATTCGACTGCATACGTGGATGCATTACATCTACAGGTGCGTGGTTTTACATTGTATAATAACAAAAGCCTAACTCAGACCATAATGTTTTCTTTGAATGTTCTCACTATACTGTTGGTTGGGATTGGTCCTGTAAGAGCCAATGCTTACGAGACATGAGTTTATACAGTATGTCAGAAGAATTCTGAATATTGGTCAAATTTATCAAGTATGTGTAATTGTATAAGTGCTGAGTTGTGAGGAGTCCAATTTAGTACTAAGGTCTTGTGGATTTTTAGGTTTTAGATGGTTCCCGGAAATTGTCTCAAAAGAACTTTATTTAATTGGGGAAAAAAACCCACACAAGTTCAAAAGAACTTAACTTTTCTAAACAGACACTTCAACTGTGCTAATTTACTCAGCATCCATTTTTTCGGTTGTTTCTTAGAACTCTTCAAAGATAAAGCAGATTTCATTTGTTTTGGGGTTTTATTCCATTCCTCCCCTCATACAGGGAATGTTCTTCACCCTACTTTGCTTTTGACATTTGTTGTTTCAGGTTAGATAAACTCTTATATTCAGGCTATGAGTATCTGCTGTGTCTGCAAATGCGTCTGCAAATGAGAAATTATGGTTATAATTATGGTTATAAAAAGACCAATGACAACTTAAGAAATTGGCTTTATCCCCCCACTTCTAAATTGTGTCATTAAAATATTTATCTGGTTGATCTGTTACAGATTCACCCAAGGCCTTCGACTGAGACAAGTGGACATGCTGCAGGAAGGAATTACTCGGAGTTCTGCAACTCAGGGTTTGCAAATTGGGAATGAAAAGAATGAGAAGAAGAGGCAAGCAGACTGTTGGACAAAGAGCAGAGATTGTTATGATAGATGAAAGCAAATTTGGCCATAAAAGAAAGGTATGTAAGTTACTTAACACTTATGAGTATTAATTTGATGCCAAATACATGATTTTGTGTCTAAAAACTAGTATTTGATGTTGGTTAAGTCTGTGCTAAACTCAGCTACTGAAAGTAGGGACAATATACATACATTTAAAACCTGTGTGCCTGAGGTGCTTTGAGGTGTATCTCCTGTATCTCGAGAAGTAACTACTGCATTATGGAATAAGATACATTGTAGATCATCAACTTTTGAATTTTTGACTTATGATTTATTCTCTCCCATTTCCCACCATTATTGCAGAATCATTGTATTGTGAGTGTCATTGTCCTCATTTTGAAGTATTTGCTCTTGTGAATTTCAGTACAACAGAGGACAGGCAAGCAACAGGAGTTCCTGGGTGTTCGGAATGCTAGGGATTAAGGATGACAGGAGGAGACCCATTCTTAAGATTGTGCATCACTGTTCAGCCAGGCATCTCTTGCCTCTTATAAAGAAGCACGTTCGTTGTGGAAGCTCAATCTTTTCAGATGGGTGGAGGTCTAACCGCCGTCTTCAGGATGAAGGTTACAATCACCTGTCAACCATCAAGATTTTTTTGTCGACCCTGTTACAGGTGCACATACACAAAACCTGGAGAGATTTTGGGGTATTTGCAAGTCAACTATCTGGAGACAAAAAGGGGAACCGCACACAAAAACTGTTGAGGGATCACTTAGATGTAATTGAGTGGACTTATTGGCGTGGAAACCATCACAGTAACGGAACACTTGGAATGCTTTTGCATGACATTAGGAAAAAATATCCAGTATGAAACCTGTCTGAAATGTAGATAAAGGTTTTGACACACTAAATGTACTGTTACCTCTGAGAAAAAGGCTATTATCATGGACATGAAGGCCAAATTCCAACTCCTTCCCTTGTTAAAGTATTAAAATGCAAGTGAGCTTCTTTGTTCAGTTAAAATTCTGTTATATTGTATTGGAAAAGTGAAATATTTGTGCACAGGGGAAATAAATCACCTGATGCAGTAATTATAGAGTAAGTTTAGGCTGTGAAAGTGCAATGTTTGTACAGTTCAGTACATTTGTTCTAAGCATTGACAAGTGTAGTTTAGCTGATAAAGAGCAAGTTCATGTTGAGCTGTGCAGGTTTTATATTTTTTAGATTGTGCAATATTTTGTATTTTTGTACTTAATATTGTGCAGTATTTTATATTGTGCTGTTTTTTGTAAGCAGGCAGATTTTGGTTAAAGGATCACACAGATTTTCAACCTTAGAGTACCTGTATGATCATACAGTATGCTGTCTTTGTTATTCTACCACTGAATGAGAGGGAACCTATAGATAGATCCATTTTTTTTCAAGGTGTAACCCATCACTTGTTCATTGCAGTAGTTATATGCTATAATATACTAACTAAGTGTGAAAAGGAGGCAACTTTAAATTAGGGAACATGTGTTGGTTAATAAGTGTTCAGCTGTTAGTGAATTAGTAATGATCAAGATGTCATGTTTAGTATGGGGAACATATTCTAAGTAACAAAGACTTAATTTAGAGTTATTTGGACACTATTAACACTTG